TGTCGTGAGAAGCAACACCATGATTTTTCATGGTTTCAACGAAAGCCAAAAAGTAGGTCGACCCATCATAGACATGTTGGAAAAAGAATATCACTCGCGAAACAAACCAACAGGAGACAGGGTGGTTAAGTCGATTGAGGTGAGTTGACCTAAACATGACCAGATGGTTGCTTCTACGAAACTCATGCATCTTCTCTCTGTATATTTCTGATCCTATGACAGTAGAACCGATTAGAGCACGATGGGCAACCTTGATCGTCATTGACAATGGACTGTTGTTCAGCCTTTGAAGAGAGAATATCCTACAATAGTATTTCGACAAAGCACGCTTGAATCTTGCAATTGGAACACCATGGAGTTCAGCACGATCAGTACCATCGAAGCCAAAATGATGATCCAAATTTGTCTCTTCTTGATCAGGTTCCCACAACTGTGAGCTTGTTAGAGATTCTGGATGATTGAGGTATGTGGTGGATGCATATGGCTGCGGTCGAATGCCTTGGAGGAACTCATTTGAGTCGAAGATCCTTTTCAGCTGGTTTCTGATTGCAACAATTTCAATCAAGTTGGAAGATTGCTTGCCTGTCCTTGACTTGCCAGTTATCAAATCACCAAACTTTCCAATGCTTCTGTAAAATGGATGATGTTGTTATGTAAGTAACTGGATGTGTGTGATAAACATAGCATGTATAGATGACTAACCGTTCTTGACTTCGTGAGGAGTAGGCTACAATTGGCCCCATTTCTCTTATCATCCACACTACATGTGTAAGCTGATGCATTACGGGACGGAAGACCGAAAGTGACAAGCACATGGCATCTCTCTGAGCTTTGCAGTAGTCAATGAAGAAGTCAATGCATTCATCAATCTCTGCCAACCTAGACTCAGTGAACTCCCATTGCAATGCAAGACAGACGCCTCTAACCAGCTTCATGATTGCTTTCCTAGCCTGTGGACTGGCTAATTCTGGGACAAAGAGAGTAGGTATGATGGTCTATTTCAAATCAGAATAATCAGATCCTAATTCACGCCTTACATGTGTACGTTTGCAGATTACAGTGGATCTGATCTTACCAGCAAATTATCAAGATAGTCAACACTGCGGGTGCCTCGTAGCTTCTCCACCAGATTCAAAAAGCTTCCATCAAATGCAACTGGTATATATGATCTTGTGTCCTCAATTGCTTTGCCAATCTCGAACAGCCGTTGCTTTGGAATGAAAAATGGATAATTTTCTCGCTCCAATTCACCATCTGGATATGTGTAGAAGAACTTTGTGTTGTTCGGAGACAGGTCGACAGTGAGCATCTCGAAGAGTTCTGAACCAACACCTCGTGCTAATGTATGCATTTCTTCGAATCCAAAGCATTGGGGTGCAATGCATGACGATAGCTGATTGAAAAGGCTGACACCGTTGAATCCAAGGTTGGACTCAGCCCTCTCGTAATCTTCATTCGTACGCATGCTTCCAGCATTTGGAAAGTACATCCCATGGCTGCGATTATCAGGGTGCATACCACGCGAAAGACACCAACGACAGCCATACTCAGATGCATGATGAGCACACTTGCTCCAGTCAAACACGGCTAGAATAAAGCAGGTAGGTAAATCAATTTCATGTTAGCCATTGTGGATGCTGATTAGTTGCTTTATCAATCAGGATATTTACCTGGAGTATCACCACCACAAATTAGAGGATGAACCTTCAAACGAATTGGCCCAGCATCATTTGTTTCGACTACCATTCCATACGTAGAAAGCCACTGGAGCTCTGCCAAGATGATGGAAATGAACGAGTCAAATGATTTGGGCTTCTTTTTTCCTGGAAAGATACAAAGCTCGTGCGTGTACTCCTCCTTGTAACGCTTGTGTGGATCGTAATTGAACACCATCAGATGAATAATTGTGAATAGCCGATCACCTCTCTTTTCAACTACAAAGCCATCATTCATGATCGCAACTGCGATATCCAGGTCATTTGTGAAATGCGTATTCTTGATGGACTTGTACGTGGCGCCGTCAAATACGTCAGCAATGATAACATCGGATGGATTCTCTTCAAGGTCTCTGTTGTCGTAGGCATGTCGGTACCGAAGCTCCTCTCTCGTTATTGGATTCGCAACTAATCGTGATACGATGTCTCCAATTGACATGACTTTCATTGTTGACAGGGCTCGATGATCTCCCCGTGCATCGTATCTTTCATGGGAACAAATATTACAAATTGTCTCCTCGTCGTCTACTTCCAATGCGTACAGCTTGCAGCCATTGATACACACATCATATTCATGGGATGTCAACGATGATTGGCGCTGAAGCATGCTTTGCACACGAGGGCCATGCATGATCTCCGGATTGCTTTCTATCAGTTCATGGGGGGAGGATCGGAAGCTGGTGAGTTATTGTATAAATGACATGTCATTGCAATGCGAATTACCTCGACTAATTTTTTCTGTATCTCTCAAAACAGTGTTCATCAACCTGACCAACTTTCTGTATGCATCCCGTGGTATAGCAAAATCATTGACGATATCATACAGCTCAATCGAAACCAGTTCTGTGGTTGTATATGTATTTTGGTTGATGTCTTCGAGGGATCTGCAATCGTAGAAGCAAGCCTGATCTTCTGCATCTGGGTCGACTACTCCAACTGTCTTGTATTTGACATTTAGCAAATCAAATTCAAGCCCTGGTTCTTCTGGATTGTCTCCTGTTATCGCATGTGTGGAATCCGCTATTGTGAGTATATACATCTACTTTAGCGCTGCAATTCCTTACCATTATTATCGACAATAGGCAGCAGATCAGCAGCACCCGGCGTCTGTTCAAAGCCTGCGTAGTCATAATCAGCATCGTCAGCAGCAGGAATCATTTCTTCAATATCACTCATGGCATCATCATCATGCAGCTGGTTTGCATGATCTGAATTGGCTGTGACTAGCGCACTGGGGGGAGATTGTGGCTGTATCAGCGTTGTTTCCACTGGAGGTTGCTCTTCCATTTCAACATCTTGATCTTCATTCAAAATGGGAGCACGACAGTTTCGGCGATGGTTGCGTAGAGCACGGGCACTGTCAAAGCTGGTATAGCAATTTGTACAGAAGGATGGCTCTGTTTCTCGTGATATACGGATTGAGAATGACATGTTTGGAGAAACCAAGAAAAATAGGCAAGTAAAAACAAATTTCAAGTGGCAGCTTTATATACTAATTCAAGTTTTATTTGCGCTCGCCAACAAATGCGTTTATCATCGTTTACAAGCAAGTGATACGTAGTCTTGCATATAACGTTTGGTAACTCAAAGTCCAAGATCAAGTAAGGAACGTGTTTCCTATGATGTGATATGTCGCCTCAGGCTACTTCTACGTCATTTCACTTTCAACATCATGTCAAATCGAGTGGTATTCACTGTGCACATATGCTTATACTATGGGCGTACAATGAGGTCAGCATTACTTGCATGAAGCCTGTGAACCGAATGACGTTCAACAACGTGGTGGTGTGTGCGCAACGAGATATACGGTACAACACAACTCTGAACATATCTTTTCTTTGCTTACTAAACTTTTATTATCAGCGCGAACCATGAACAATAACAACAACAACAACAACAACAACAACAACAACAACAACGCTGCCAGTATTGACTTCACCGCAAGACTCTTGCAAGAAATGATGGCAATGAGATCCGAAATCAGCCAACAAGGCGTACAACTGAACGTCTTGAATGATGGATTTCGACAGCAATTCATGTCGCCATTGGAAGACGCAGGCAGCGATTTGGCAACAAGAAGCATCCTGGATCCCACTTACAGAAGCCAGGTACTATCAAACAGCAACAGAAGAGGTCCTCGGGTAATTGAAGCAAACCCTACCGGCAGGGCCAGAGCTTCTCCTGTGGAGAGATACAACGCAATGCTCCAGCATCTACACAAACTATGCAATGGGGCATCTGTACCCGATTTGACACCAGGGCAGCTCAAATCGCGCAGGGAGAAGCTCCACCGCACAGCAAAGAGGGTCTTGGAGGCTATACTGGTGATGCATCCGAATATCTCGCATTGGAATGCCCTGGACCATGTGCAGGATGAACAGGTATATTACAGCCTGGCACTGGAGGAGCAGGCCCTGCAACGGGACAATCTCATGATTTGTCTCTGCAAGAAGCAGTGGTGTGCCAGGTTGTTGCTCTCCCAGGCCTTCAAAGCAAATAGAGCAAGCAGAAACCGAGCTGCTGCTGCTGATGCTGCTGCTGATGCTGCTGCCAATGTTGCCAATGCTGCCAATGCTGCTGCCAATGTGTCTTTGCAAGAAAACGAGGCAAGAAGCCATCTTCTGGTAAGTAGCTCCTATTATTTGTTTTGGCCATGGCTAACATCTAAGTATTGGAAACATTTCAAATGCTTTTAGGAGACTGAATCAGCAATTGTTGGAGACAGTGATATTGCCCAGCTTGCTCAAACTGCCGGTGTTGGTAATGCTGAGGATGATGACAACCTTAGTACTACTAGCAATATGTAATGGTGTGTGCGTTTGTGAGATCTTGTATATTTCATCCAAAATAAAATTACTTTGCTTTTGTACATTTGATGCTGCCTTGCTCTATTGGGATTTGAGATGATGGATTAGCTGCGATGCCACATTTAAAATCACATTTGATAGGTCACTTCAGCTTAAAAAGTTACTTGATTTGGTTACATCAGTCTGATACTGTGCATGATTAGAGCGTGTTTCTATATTTTTAGATCGAAACTTTGTATATTTAGGTCATCCCTTGAGAAAAAAGTGCTTTTGTTTCTCTTTTTTCTTCATTTTTCATCTATTTTCACTTTAATTCTATCAGCATAAGAGACATGTGCTCTGTAGCAGCAAGAAGAAGAGGCAGCATTTACCGTCCATGGCTTTAAAGGTGGAGGCTAGGTTTCAATGCCATTGAAGAAGGAATACCATTTCAAATGTGCGCCGTGGGAAGCTTCATATCCCTGCCATAGTATCCAGGATGGAATCTTCATTTACATCCTTTCGAAACAACAAATTTATGGTATGTCCAATGCTTCTTGCCATATAAAAGCTAACAAATATCTTGTAGAAATGTAAAGGCGACTTTGCCAGGTCAATTTCGATGTCGCAAGTATGCCATTTGGTTAACCGTTTCCCTCCATCCTGCTGGTTCCATTTATCTGCTTTCTTGCTATCACTGTTCAAGTAGTAAGTCATCTTTTGCTGCATCATCAGGAAAAATCAGTCGTTACTCACCTGATAAGTTAACTAGTGCCAGCGTCGAGTGGGTCTGGCGGGTTTGGCTTGATAACTGAGCACATCTCTTGCATACTTTATGGATCCCCTTTTGCATCCAGTGAACAATGGCAGATGCTTCATAGTTGAATGATGCGGTCTATACATCTGATACTTCTGACGGCATAAGACGCATTAACATTCGTTCGATGTTTTCTTTTCAAGAATGTCTGCTCCCAATGAGTCGCTGCCTGGTGGTGTGCTGTACTTTCTATCTGTCTTGTGAAAGAGGTATTGTAGTCATCACGCCTTTGCTGGAACGCTTTACTAACTTGATTCAGTTCACATCTTTGCTGATAGGTACATGCACATCTTTGATATTATGCTGGCTTTTGTACAATTCGTTGCTCTACATGGAACACTGTTGATGGCTTCAACCTTTTCATTCTATGCTCTCTCTGGATCTCGCCTGGAAACATCACTTTTATATTGCCCTAAAAACTGATAATATTGGGAAACACGAAACAGTTCATACTGATCCAGGCTATTATTCTCAATTATCTTTGACTCTACTATAGCCTACAGCATGACCATTACCACTACAAGGCTTTACTATTGCACGTTTTTGGCACGTAGCCTTCGTTTACCCATTAAAATTAACCAATAATAAATGTATAAATATTTAAACCACAATTTCTGAGCCAATGAAAGCTGCCAATATTTAAACCACGAATTATGGGCCAATAAAAGCTACCAATATTTAAGCTGATTCAGACCTTCAATGATCCCATTTCAGCTCATCGATAGGTTCATGCGCGATCATGAATGTTCTCATTTGAGAACATGGATTTGCTCATTTAAGAACATCGATATTTTGATTTGAGAACATCGATGCGCTCATAAACAGCTACATTTGCTCTTATTTAAGAACATGGATGTGCTCATATGGGAACATCTCGGATGTTCTTATGAGAACATCGGCCGACTTATAATAGATCTTTAGGAACGCCGATGTTCCCATATGAGAGCATTTTCCACTTTTTGGGAACATCGATGCTCTCGAATGAGAACATAAAATAGATTCTTATATGAGCACCTCGATGTTCTCATGAGAACATCAGTTGGGCCGTAGTGCTAATTCAACATTTGTTAATATTAGTCCTAATCGATTTTACCGTAGCCAAGCAAAGGTGTACAACCATAGTGTTCAAGCAGCAAGTTTGGGTTCTCATTTGCATTGTTAATAATAAGCTTACCAGCAACATAGGGCATCAAAATTCGCATGAATTAGTCTTACAAAATCAATATGTCTCCTGTTAAAATTACAAGCTGCACAGGTTGCAGAACTGCCCTTCCAGACGACTTTAGCTACTAAAGATGCGGTTCATGCCGTGTAAATAAAAGCCATAAAGCAAAACATAACCAAATTGGACAGTTTTCAAGCCTTCATATCTTGACATGTAGACCTTCCTGAGCCACCGGAATAACGCCAAACAATTGCACTTAAGTAGTAGTAACTTTCTGACACCTTTGCTCAACCTTTTGAGAACCTAAAAAATATGGCCAAAAATCAACCAAAAAGCATGAGGTACCCCTCATGGTTTTTTACGAAAATCAAAGGATCGCATTTTTCGTTTTGAAAATAAAGAATTTTACTATGTCATATATCAAATTAAAATGCTTTTCTCGATCCAGAGCAACCTCTGAAACCACTGTTATGAGGCTTTCATATACAAAATATGGCTATTTTCGCTAAAAACCTCATTTCAAATTTTATTGAATTGCTCAATAGTTTCAATCAAAACACTTATTACATTTAGCACCGTCGGAAGCGCCTTGAAAAGTACTTCAAGAATGTATTAGGAAGCGTAGGGTGATCATCACAGTTCATATAGTCGAATACCAAAAAATAGATTAAAGAAGTCGAAAAAAGACGAGATCTGTCCAATCTTGAGCAGAAAAAAAAAAGCTGAGGTTGAATTAATTTTGGCGGCGGCATTGCTGATGGCTGACCTAAATGCCTTTCTGTTGATGATAATGATGATTGCGATGTTGATTAAATGGGGATCATGGAATTGAAAGGGTTATTGCTTAACCCAAATACTTTTTTGGGTGCTTTTGTTACAAGCGAGCCTTTTGCAATGTCAACATCTCAAAAAAGTCGCTGTAGATCTTACACAAGTCCTTTATTTACTTATGACCAGCTTTATGTCGCCATCTTATTAAGAGCATCAGCAGCAGTGAATAATATGACAATTCTATTATCAAAAAATGGCATTTGTGATATACAAATACTGCATAAAATTTGAATTTCTTTCGCATTGTCCCAATAATAGGCTTTGTTTAATATCAGCGTAAGCAAAAAGGATACTAAGGGAGATACCTCCTCTCCTCCTCCTGGCTCTGATACAACCTTTCTGTTACTAACTAATAATAAATTGTTTAAAATCTACTTGATATACCAAAATGTTATAATGTCTGATTTAAAACGGCTTCGATGAGAGCCCGCAGGGCGACGCCGACATCGAGCGTAGCGAGATGAATGGGCAAGTAATAAATACTGGAAGCCTTGAACATAAAAGCGTCGTAGTAGCAAATTAGAGACTGCAAGCCCTTGTCCCAAGAACACACTGCATCTAATTTTAATGATGTTATACCTGCTATACTTAGCTGTGGATTAAGTGATTTGTGGTGTCAAGGCAACATTTGCTAACCTTGACCTTAAACAGGTATAATAACCCTAAGGAAGCAAACGTGAAAAGCCATAATAAAGCAGTAAATTTGGTTTCTTATTTTCATTTGATGCATTTCACACCATAATCCATTATATTACACCTAATACAACACATCAACATCTCATCGGTTTTTACATACACTACTAAACGCACATCAAACTACAGTCTACACGCACATCAAGACCCATCAAATAGTCAACTAGTAGGATGACTATTACTGAAACAATACCATTTAATTCAATGACATAAGAGCGGTTACAATTACACGTAACTGTAGATTATTTACACATATCATTTACGACAATCTACTGGATCATCACACTTGACTTTACACCTCAGGATTTGACATTATTCACAAAGATATAAATGGGACCACACAATTCATTCAATAAAGGATCGTCTTAATTTTGCACAGAATGATAAACTGATAATTCACTGATACATTTATTTGTATGATTTTAGTTATTTACAGTATTTGTCAATCTAATTAACAGAATTTTTATCCATTGTTATAGTATATAAGAAGGATCATCTACCTGGCCAGTAGAGAAACTTCAGCTTACTTTACACCTGTCAGTTTGATAATAAAACTTACCTTTATCAAGTTGACTTTACTGTTTTTTTATGCTTTTTTTTTTCCATGAATTTTAGTCTATAAAGCCTCAAATTCCACAGGTTCCATACTTCAATAACAAATATCACACTTTAAACCATCAAGGTTACATTAAACCATGCTATGACGATAGCTCACCCAAGCCCATCAAGGTTACTCAAATCAACCCTTATGGCCAGTGCTCTTGCATTGATTACCACTTTAAATCAAACGTCAACAACATTTGCCAGATATCGCAGTAGCAGCACCTATTGCTCTCTAACATCACTAATTCTACAAACCAGTTGCAAGTGTATAAATACTCTTCTTTTTTTTTACTCAATTCCAGGATCTTCAGTTCATTTTATACACAAATAAAATACAGTTGATTTCTATTGTATTTTACTATTGCTTTATTTATTTTTTTTGTGAAATCTATTCAAACCTGATTTCACTGCAAGAATAAAAGCATCGATAACTTAGAGATTGAGCTCCGTACAATGCAGAACATCAGGGACATTAGACCGAATTGTAATGCACTTACTCTTCTGGCAACGCAACCCACTACACCGTCGTTTTAGGTCGAATTCTGTTCAAATCTAGCCATTTTCAAGCACGAATATCTCATGCCACAAAGCGTTTTGAGCGCTTGAAATAGCTTCACACGCCTTCTCTTGGCTACTGATTTATCAGAAATAAATTATTTATAAAAAGGAGTATGAAATTAATCAGGTAGTAAAGAATATCGTTTATTACATTGAAAATAAGAGGGTTTATATACTATTCGAATTGAGGGATTTGATGTGAGGATAAAGTATTAGATGGGTTGATTTGGGTGATAGGATAATAGATCCAATCTATTATCCTGAACATGCCATGATATGGATCGTAACTGAATCCTGTTTCATGTCAAAGTTTATGATCTGATGTGATCGGTGCTTGAACTGCTTGTTTCTACGCATTTGGAGATCCGGTTTAGAAATGATACATCAGTATGAATCTTATAGTACTAGCGTATCTGAAGTCCATATCTTCTTATAGTATAAATCGATATCGTACTGTACATCTAATCCGGTGTACATATAGTTTATATCTAAATCTGGTAACTGGATGAACTGTCGGAATGCAGATAATAGTGGATGTGTTCCACAATTTCGGTGAGACTAACTCATGTAAACCTTGATGCGTTATTATGTTGTCGGTTGTTTAGAATAGCGAAATATAGACAGAGTAAATACAATTAGAACTGAATATATTTATTATGTTATTCCAAGATTGAATAGGGATCAAAACTGGTGTAGATATCAAAGGTATTTATAGTTATTTGACAGTGCCGCAGCAATAGGACCTTGATCTTGAATGCGGGATAATTGTATAAGCCTTGAACCAGTAACGAGGATGTGCTGCATCAGAACTCATGAACCACCAGTCAAGGATAAACGACAAAGATGATCCAGGATAGAATGTTCTTCCTAATAGCTTTGACGGAAGAACATTTGTCGGAATTGAAACCCACTTCCAGGGACGAAAGGCCATAGGCTACCACTCTCTAGGAACCAGGATATAGATTAGCCATTTGATGGCACCACTCATGTTCCTTCGTGCTGCTTGAATAAAGACCTCTCACTTCTACTATGCATCTCAGCTCATTCTCAGATCCTCTTATGTAATATATAACGCCTAATACATTTGCCTCTCAGAGATGATCTATATCCTAAACAGTCGGTAAGCCTGATAATGGTAATGGAAATGA